TCAATAAGAGGAACCATCTACATGTAAGCAGAAGGAATTAGATGAAGTTCAAGTTATACACTTCTTTTCCTTGTTAGTGTGTCACTTACCATTCTCATTTTCTTAGCTGAAAATGTAGGGCTAGTTATTGGCCTCACCCTCTTCCAATTTTTCTTATCCATAAGTAAAAGGCCAGTAGCTATATTGGCCTTTTTTCTTAACACATAGAAGAAACCAGAATCCTCTTTCTATGAATGAGAAAATACAGTCTATTGCACTAGCAACATTCCATTAATCTCATAAGCAGCTTATAAACAATACATAAAATGAATGCAATATTATGACAATAGAACTTAGCCATAGAAAAATATGAATACTTACTCTTCTCTCAGTAAAGTTATCAAACTGTTTAATTGTGATTTCTTTCAACATTTCGAGATCAAGAACGACAATAAAAGCTTTGGCACCAAAATAATACCTACAAATTTAATAATAATAGTAAAGTTTTATGGGAAATGAAGTAGAGAACATAAAGGAAACCAATCCTGAGGGAATGTCAAGAAAAGAACTGGCACCAACAAGCAGAATAAACACATACATATATGTCATCAATTAATTACAGGAGAGAGGGGGGGCATAGCAAGATGAGCATGGTTATAGACAGATCAAACAATATGACGCTAGGCCAGCATATCATCAATTTTTAATCAAAAGCGTGGGTAATTTGACCTTTTGACAAATTAAATTCTATTCCAGCATCAACATAATGTCAGGTCTAGTGTAATATTATAAACCCTTTGATGCACTTTAATTACGTCAAACAAAGAATGGCTGATAAAAAAATTTTGGCTGCCTGTTAAACGAATTATCTGATGGGTACTTACCCAAATACTTTGCCATGTATTCTCATCCATTTCTCTACTGCAACTGTGTCAGTCTATCATGCAGGGAAAAACATAATTTATTAGTTTTACTGCCTTGGTGGCCTTACCAGCTTAAATATGTCCAAACTATTTCCAAAGAAAGGTACAGTTGGAGGAGAAGTCAAACCAACCTTCTTAAACACTTGATACGGGGCATAAGCAAACCTATGATGAAACACAACCTGAATAACACAAAATGGCTCGCAATTGATGAGCCTTACTTGTACCAAAGGGTAAAAACTAAGAGCAGGGCCCCTCCAAAAATATAAGCAAAGAACATCTTTAATACCTAATTGCCTAGCCTACTATCGTCACGTGAATTCAAGAAACATAGAGATAATTTTGTTATCATAACCTTGTAAAATTGTACATAAATTAATAATAATTATTAAGGAAATTTTCTTTCTCCTTTACCAAACTCTATGACATAAAAGCATCAATTCATTATAAGTATAATTATAACAATATAAAAAGAGACAACAACAACAACAACAACAATAATAGCGCTATTCTGAAAACCAGGTACCAGTGATGGGACATATGTTCTTGTTACGGCCGCACTTAATGTGTGTGACGATTCCATTCGGATACCTCACAAAAGCCGACGGCTCAATGAATGGAGACTGACAAACAGGACATACTCTAGCATTAAAAAATACTAAAAGGACACTAGGATAATAAAAAATACCTTCTCTCTGTGATTTTAACCGGGCCGTCTTGAATCTTTATTAACTCGTACCTTGTCTATAGACAAGAAAAATAATATGATCCATTATTATTTTAAAAACTAACTTCTAAATTTTCTGCCTTTGCCAAATTCTGCTCAATTTTGCAAGAGCGTGATGCATTGGTAGTGCTTCGTATACTCCGGACTAAGAAATCCTCAACAGTACTGATCTCCCACTGTGATGGCAACAGCTCTAGGACCTACTCAAAACAAAACATAATTATTCTATTCAAAGTCTCCCTCTCTCTTTTAAACCTTAGCAGCATCAAACTCTCCTCCATGAGTGTTAAGTAGTTTTAGTGCTTGCTTGATAACAGGGCTTTTGGAGCTATCATCAATTATTACTTATGAAACGTATTAACAAGTAAATGAGATTATTACCTGTCATTTGGTCTAAGATATGCAGTAAGTAGCGCTTGATATATTCTCTGACGTGTTTGCCTGTTGCATCCCTAGACCAATAATCAATAGTATACTACATTAAGTACATAAGTAGGTTACCTTTGAATAGATGGAGCAGTATCTCTCAGCTCCGTCATAATCTTGTAGCTTGTAAGCTAAGAGGTTGAGAGCTTTATCATGCTCATCCATCTGTACATAAAAGAGAGAACATTAGAAGAGTTATTACACAAGTTGCATGCCCTTTTATATTTATAATGGCAAGCAAACAAAGCTGCAACAATTCATTAATAATTTATCTCACTCTTCCGTAGAGAATGGCACACTCAGAGTAGAGGTCAGTGTCTTGAACTCTGTTCAGTAAAACTGATGCACGATAATGAGAAGAGTCCTCTAAAAATGTCTGTAGCTTTTTCCTGTTGGAGAACAACAAATGATTATTGCTAGCATCAAAATCGCCTCTTGCCTCTCTTTGTTCAACTTGGAGCTGTTTGTCCCTTTTTTCAACTCAAAGACTCTATCAAGATAAAGCATAGCAAGACGAGTATGGAATGTCTCTAGCTATAAAGTATTAAAAAATAATGATAATAAAACTTGAATATATACTGTAACTGCTTTTACCGTTGAATTTTTCTCATTAATGACAAACTCCAGATAAGTCACTGATGCCAGTACATAAGGCGAGAGCTTCTCCATGATGACACTTTCTTCCAGTTCCACTTTGCCCTCAGTCAGTTTCCCTCTCTCTATGAATATGCTGGCACCTTTCAGCTCGTCTCTGTCTAGCACCCACTTGGCATATTTCAACACCATATCATTACTAGCGTGTCTATAAACAAGGAAATATACAAGTAATAGTGTTACTTTATTGGCCTCGCTAGCGATTAGTATGGGCAAGGACTATGTAGTGTATTTTTTAAATGGCCGATTTTTTTAAATGGCCGATTTTTTTAAATGGCTGTAACTCAAAAAATTAAAGTCGGAATCGGCTCAAACTTTCTACATAGCATAAGGAAATCAATATGCATCAAAAAATGTAATAAAAATTGGGAGCGATTTCGGAGTCATTTTTTAGAAAAAAGCATGGGCTATAGTACAGGGTATTTGTTAAAAATGGCCAATTTTTAAAAATGGCTGTAACTCAAAAAATTAAAGTCGGAATTGGCTCAAACTTTCTACATAGGATAAGGACATCAATATGTATCAAAAAATGTAATAAAAATTGGGGGCGATTTCCGAGCCATTTTTTAGAAAAAAGCATGGGGTATAGTACAGGGTATTTTTCAAAAATGGTCGATTTAAAAAAATGGTTATAACTCGAAAAATTAAAGTCGGAATCGGCTCAAACTTTCTACATAGCATAAGGACATCAATATACATCAAAAAATGTAATAAAAATTGGGGGCAATTTTGGAGTCATTTTTTAGAAAAAGCATGGGCTATAGTACAGGGTATTTTTTTTTAAATGGCCAATTTTTTAAAATGGCTGTAACTCAAAAAATTAAAGTCGGAATTGGCTTAAACTTTCTACATAGCATAAGGACATCAATATGCATCAAAAAAATGTAATAAAAATTGGGGGCTATTTCGAAGTCAAAAGCATATGCATTCTTGGTGTGCCCATGTTACAACTATATCAGTGAGCAATGGTCCTTACTGTGTTAAGAACTTGACCACATAGTCAATGCCAGGGAAGGTACTGTCCAATAGTTTCTTATCAACTATTCTAGTCCAAATGTTCAGTGCAGCATCACTGTTGCCATTAAAGAAATGGCACAGCCCTAATGCATAGTAGCACTACAAAAGTAGCATGAAACATGAAATACATTAATCTCATTCTGTGGGTTACCTGGTATTTCTCAAAGGCTTCTCTGGCTTCCTCAAACTCTATGAAAAGATCATAGTTCTCCATGTATCGTGGAAGTGACGATGAATTCTCCTCAGCCAATAGCTTCACCAGCACTGTATCTACTTCCTAAGTAATGTGAGCAATAAGGCCTTGCATTAGTTTCGGTACAAAAACTCACTTCTTTTCTCCCAACGGCAACTGCTGTGACTCTTATCTCTTTCTACAAGAAAAGAGATAACAATCAAAAATTAAAGTGAAAAGAGACTATACAATTTATGCAATAAATTATAACTTTGCTAATGCATCACGGTCACACTGAAAAGGTAAACTAACCAAATATGATATTAAAAACTTCTTGGCTTCCTTCAGGCTTATAATTTTTGAATCAGCTGCGATATAAAGATCAGGAGATGCCATCTACATGTAACAAGTTAGTTACCTACCTAGCTCTTGAGCAGATGGTATTTCAATAGCTGGAGTATAAGTTGAACTTTTTGGTAATAAACCCTCAAACTTGCAAATAGTCTATAGAGAGAACAAAGGGAGGGTAATGCGTACAGTGGAGTGATGATACATTACAGTACCTCTCTTGGATCAATGTTTCCCTCTAAAAGCAATGTCTTTGTTTTTGAAAACTGTCCCTGGCTAAAATAAATGAAAGCAGCTTGTTGCTTGACATCAGATACGTACTGATAAAAATAGTATAAGAGATACATAATCATAGTCAGTTAACCGGTTCTTACTTCATCAGCTTTGGTGGGATTTTTACTCTCTTCAACAGCTGCAATAGTCTCAGCAAGCAGTATAGCTTCTTCAACACAACCTTTCTTCAAAAGATCTTCAACCTAAGCAAGCAATAATGATAATAATAATAATCTTACCATACAAGAGAAATGCTAACCTGGTCCTTTAGAGGTACTGGTGCTAGTAGATACACTCCAGTAGTTGTAACAATGTATATTTTACCATAAAACTGAGCAATGCTTTTAATATTCTACAAACAAACAGAAAGTGAAAGACACCTCTATTCTACTCATAAGGATTACCATTTGCTGTATGTCTTGTTTACATTGCTGATCTATTAAACTATACACATGGAGCCCGTGAGTTTCCTTGCACCAGGTCACTACATAAGGGAATGCGTAAGCAGCTGCTACTGGGGTACGTGAACGCCACTCAAGCGGAGGCCTCTACACGAGAAATAAGATACCATTTTACACGAGCGAGAAGTAACAATTGTATGATTACATTGGATATTCCTTCAATAGACACAATGACTCCAATATCTCCTGTATTAATTAAAAACTCATCCTATACAAAATGTACGAAATACATTAATACATTATAGGCACGTTCTATAGTGAAAAATATATGCAAAAATCTAACTTTAGCCATCTTCTTAACAATAGGGCTGGTGTCCATGCCAAACGTTGGTAAATCTACAATCTAATACACAATAAAATAATAACAATTAAGAATGATGATTTAGTCTATGCGTACTGTTGATGTATTATTCAAATTGATCAGTAAATATCTTCCAGCGTCAAAGTGCTGACTGCTATTGACAGCTACACACAGATAGTCTCCATCACGAGCCTACAGAACGAGTGCCCATACATAAGAGGTGAGTATAATAATTAATTATTAATACCAAGGCAACAGGTTGATCGGATAGATCTATGGTGGTCCCAGCAACAAACCTATCTCCAGATGTAATCGTGTACAGTAAAAGGCTTTTCTTTTTCTGCTGAGCTACAACCAACTGTAACAGGAGAAACAAAGAAAGTAGAAGAGAGATGTAATAAAAGGAATAAAAAGACTATTGCTTCTCTTTAACCCTCTCTCCTCCCCTCTCTCTCTCCCTCCTCCCCTCTCTCTCTCCCTCCTTCCCTCTCTCTTTTCCTCCTTCCCTCTCTCTTCTCTCCCTCCTTCCCTCTCTCTTCTCTCCCTCCTTCCCTCTCTCTCTTCCTCCTTCCCTCTCTCTCTTCCTCCTTCCCTCTCTCTCTCCCTCCTTCCTTCCCTCTCTCTCTTCCTCCTTCCTTCTCGCTCTTCTCTCCCTCCTTCTCTCTCTCTCTTCTCTCCTTCCCTCTCTTCTCTTCCTCCTTCCCTCTCTGTCTTCTCTCCCTCTCTCTCTTCTCTCCCTCTCTCTCTTCTCTCCCTCTCTGTCTTCTCTCCCTCTCTCTCTCTCCTCTCCCTACGTTGCATTCAGTTGACATTTGACTCAATTTAGCATCATCCACACAATAGCATGAGACCTAGAATCAGTGATCATTTATAATTGATAATAATTGATCATTGAAATAAATACTGTCTCACTTTTGTTAGTCTGTCTCTGGCATCAATGACCTGATGTGACATACACAAAACAAATGGACATAAAATACAGAATAAAAATCATATCTCACTTCTAATCTCCTCATGTCAAGTAAATAGAACGTACCTAAATTATAAATAAAATAATAAAATAATCATAATAATAATAATACCATCTAATAGGGCCAGTAATCTGTTAGCATTAGGAATGACTGTCAACTGCTGGACTGTCTTTTTCTAAATAAAGACAGTAAGAGAGAGAGATCATCAATAATGTCTTCCTCTTACTCTATCTGGGTCAAGCTGCTTCTTTCCTTTCACTTTTGACTGATATATTTTCTTGCCAAGTGGTGACAGTGTCTCCACTAGACCAATATACATCACTAACCTATAAATACATGCATTAATTGTATGTTAATATGACGAATCATTCAAATCAAATTATAACTACAATGCCAACATGTACTCTCTCATCTCTCTATTAGGATTAGGTCTTACCCATCAGTCGTTCCAATATACAGGCTCTCTTGCCACACACAGACACATTCAACCTGTACACATATATATATATACATTATTATTCATTCATTGAGCTCATCATGTGTGTATTATGTATATACCTGTTTATCTCTTGTGGCATGATCAATGATGTTTTCTTTCACAGGTATAAGACTAAAGGCAGAAACAAGAGAATTACTGCTACCCCTTGACATGCTCATATATTTCAAAACTGAAGGAGAAGAGGAGAAAGGGCTCGGGAGGGCTAGAGGAGAGAAATTCGGAGAGAGGAGTTAAAAATTGACCACGCCCAACATTTACGAATAATTATGCATGGGCGTTGCCCTTTTGTTTTTTTTTGCATTAGTTTGCGGTGTTTTAAATACAGCGCAAGCTTGTATATCTTGAAAGAAACACTATCATATCTCTCATAGCTGCTTTATTAATAAAAGTGAGTTTCTTTACCCTTTTAGCAGCTTATAGTTAGTGATGTGTTTTATAGAGAGTCTGCAATAAGCTAGAAAAGAAGCAAAGATGTCTTCTGGAGCAGGCAAAGGGGGAGGGGCTGCAGTGAAAGGTCTGCGTCTTTTAACACTCACAAGAGCGGCGGAAGGTTTTGGTTTTCATATGTACACAAACAGAGAGAGAGAGGGCCAATACATCAAGTCAATCTCCCCCAACAGTGTAGCTGACCTGGCTGGAATGCTGACTGGTGATCGCATTGTTAGGGTAGATGGAATAGATGTCACTGGAGATACTCATCATCAGGTAGCTATATACACTTAATGAGCTAGTAGTAGCAACAGTATTAGCATACTAATTGATAAAAGCATGCTAACTCTTGTGGGAAGCTCCAGTAAGCTTACTAGCAGCATAAACACTGCCAAGAGATGACCATCCTTGGCCATCTCAAGAAACTATATAGTTACTCTACACTTTTGCTTCATTCGTGCCAAATGAAAAGCTCAAAAACAAAATGCTTTAAAGCATGTGTGGCCTAACCCTTTCTATTGTTAATTCACTCAGAGCATGCATTTATAGTCCATATCAACTAATTATGCAGCTATCAGCAACTACACTTTAAAATTAATACACATTGATCTGTATGTCTTGTATACAAGTGACTAAATTTGCAATTTTGCATGTGCATGTATGTCAATTTTCCCTCCCTTTAAAAGGTGGTAGAAAAGATTCGTTCTGGGACAGAAGAAAAGAAGATCCTTGTCATTGACATGGAGACAGAAGATGAGATGAAGTCCAGAAGTGAAGAGATAAACCCTGACGATGCCATTGTCATGATACCACGAGCTCCTCCACCGCCTCCGCCAAAACCAGTTAGCAATCAATCGCACAATAACTAAACAAAATGACATGCACACACACACACACAATCAACAACTATTAGCCTCAGGAGTATGCATAAATATACTGCACTTTAGAAGTGTGTAGTAGCAATGCATGCCTAAAAAAAACTGCACCATCAAAAATTTACCACAATGGTTTAGCTGCTATGCATGTCATTATGTAATAGCAAAACAATATTCAAAGACAGAGCCTCATAGTTGTTATCAGTATTCATCTTCGTCAAGCAACGGACATGAATAATATCATGTGACTTATTACACAGCAAAAACGTGAGCAGTGATTTCATATGATGCCCAAAATTGACTTAACTATAGACTACAAATATCACAATCATCATGATTACATTGTTTCTGTGCTACCATAGGTTGAGGAACCAGACTCTTCAAACGATCATTTACCTGATCTTGACATTGTTAGTTTAGATGCAGCAAGAAAGAACATACAAGGAAGACGTGCCAAGGAAATGATAAAAACAAGAGGCTGGAAGGAATCTGTTGAAGCATACAATCAACTTTAGTATTATTAATTATTATAAACCCTTTGTATTCCACACACACACACACACATACATGTACACAGCAGTTTATGATTAACACGTGTACTTTTTAACTTATATGTATGTACATACATTGTTTTACCATTAAAGATACTTTCCTAAAATTTTTATTTCATCAGTGTAGCAAAACAGTAATAATAATAATAGCCATAACAATAATAATAATAATAATAATAATGATAATAATAATAATAATAATAATAGTTAAATTACAAAAATTTATTTTGAGTGATAGCAAAAATAAATTTGATTGGAATTCTTGGCAAAGCAAAAATTATTAATGACTAAAAATAATACCAATAATCATAAAAACCAATAGCAGCGATGAAAACTAAAGAGTGAGTCCTATTACCTTGTAAAGGAATGAGATGTGACTTGAGTATTGTACAGAGAGTGAGACATGCCTGGTATATAGGGATACCCAGCCATGGCCGGGTTAGGCTGAGCTGGCATTTGTAAACCGGTTGGTGGAAAAGGTGGATTCATCTGTGCCGGGACAACAAACTGTGTATAAGGATACAGGCTAGCTGGGAATAGCGATAAATTACCCGAGCCACTTGCCGTCGACGAGGAGGACGCCGGTATAATGGTGTTAGGAGCAGTGGACGAGGGAAAGGGTACGTTAAGAGGAGTGAAACTGGAAAGGGACGGTAGGCTGGGGGTGACCATGGTACCGCCAGCCGAATTAGGCCTACTCATATAAGAACCACCTCCTCTTTGGATGTCACTTGATAACATACTCTGCATTGGAGGGTGAGAGGGTTTCTGAGAGTGAGCCTGCTGCTGGGGAGCAGCCCCACCAGTCCTTGTAAACCCAAACCCTTGATTAATAGATGGGATATTGATGGGGAGGGGCGTGCAAGTAGGTACTATCCTACCGCTAGCATTACTATTAGTGCCTATTGAGCTAATAGGGTGGTGAGAGCGACCGTATTGCTGGTGGGTGGGGGATATGACTCCTGGTGAAGGGTTTCTTTGCAACGGTAGCTGATGAGATATACTAGTGGAACCTGAGTAATACTGGGCTAAGAGAGAGGGGGAGGAAGAGGAGGGAGTCAGAGAGAGGGAGGGATGCGATCCTTGATACATGATGTCCCGTCTTGAGGTACTAGACTGATGCTGTTGATGGTGAGAGGAGGTGTGAGCTGGGGCAGTGGTTGATAGCGATACAGGAAGAGAAGGGAGGGACGGAGGGAGTGCTACTGATGACGGCAACATGTACCCTGATTGGTGGGTGGTGGAAGAGGGGAGAGGAGCCTGCCGAGGAAGAATAGGGGAAGTTGACGAAGACGACGACGATCGTGAATAGCCTGTGCTCTTAGAGGGACCATCACCAGGTGATTGCTGATGAGGTCTTGAGTATGAAGTACTAGCTATCGGCCTTGATGCACTCCCTCCGTTTCGCCTTCCCTCTTGACGATGAGAGGCTGTCACATCAAGTGAAGAGGTTTGAGGAGGAGAAAGAGGGGGGAGAAAGGGAGGAGGCATGGAAGAGAGTTTAAAAGAGCCGGTTGTGGTAGGCTCCATGCTATTAGAGCTAGTCACTGTCATTGGTAGAGGAGGGAGGGAGGAGAGGACCGAGGGTAGCTCAGGCTCAGCAATGGGAGCAAGAGGAGAAGGCAGGGAAAGGATTGAAGATGAATCAGTCACTGCATCGTGCGATAAACTGAGAGATGGCGACCTCTGACTTCTACTTGTCTTAGGTGGCTCAGACTCAAGTCCAGCAGGTTTATTAGTAGGAGCTACTGACTGTGATGATGATGATGATGATGCATCTACAATTGAGATATGCATAATGAGTATTAACAGTGATTACTAAAGCATTAAAAAAATTATTACATGTGTATGTACATGTACATCTAGAGGCTATTATAAAGGTATTTACATGTATATGTATCATGATGCTTATTCAAAATTTGCAATTTAAACTTTTACAGTACCTACAGTAGCATTATACCATGGGCACTGTATACATGTAGTGAAACTGAATACATGGCCACCTGGGCACTATAGGAATGTTTTAAAAGCACAAGCAACACAAATAACACTCCAGGCTGATGATTAAAGTGACTACATGTGTTTGCTTTGCTATATAATCCCAAAGCTTTGCTATAATTACACACACGCATTATGTGTGTATACTACAGTAAAGGTATTCATGGTAGATGTACATTGTATGTTAGAGTCTCCTCACCTTTATTCATTTCTTGTATCCTTGAGTAGTATATCTTCTCATCCTCTTTCTCTAGTTTTGATTCCAGAATGTGAGTGATGTAATCGTCCATTAGCATGTGCAACAGTATCAAGAATCCTAAAAAAATTTGCAAAATTAAAGCATAAGACATGTACATGTACATGTATCTGTATGTACATGTAGTGTGTGTGTGTGTGTGTGTGTGTGTGTGTGTGCATGCAGAAATGATGTTCAAATATCTAATGATTCTGTCCTTTTGTACACTCAGTCACTAATTCATGAGCTCAGAAATGGTGATACTGTGTCAACAGTATTTCTATTAGTACAAGCATACCAAAGCTAGGGGCATTCTCCATAGTGAATTCCTGGAGAATCTTTGCTGTAAAGAATTTCCATGTTAGCAGGAAAGCTTGGCAGGCCTCTTTGAGTGGGAATTTATCCTCAGAATGAGCCTGAGAGAGAGAGAGAGAGAGAGAGAGAGAGAGAGAGAGAGAGAGAGAGAGAGAGAGAGAGAGAGAGAGAGAAGAGAGAGAGAGAGAGAGAGAGAGAGAGAGAGAGAGAGAGAGTATAATGTAAGATACACATGTAGCCAGAGCACATTGCACTAATGCAACTGTTATGCAAGTAAGTGGTTATTCTATTCCGTGAATACTGACCTTTATTACTGTGGATTGTATCACGTCCTCCGCCCAAAACATAAAATGTTCAAGATCAGTTTGATCATTTAATAAGTCGTCGAACTGTGCACAACCTACATGTAAATAGAGGAACATGTAGAAAAGAAAATCCATCAAAAAAATTTGTAAATTATAATAATAATAATTTTTCCCAGCAAATTTCTCGGAAAAATTAAAACATGCATGTACATGTATTGTTCGATGAATAAATCATATGTACATGTAGATGTAGTTCAATCATTTCCTGACATTGTTGATCTAGCAGAGTTAATTACAAGAAAAATTTAGTGCTACATAACAATACATGTACTTATACCAACACAGAACTAATTACCGTCATTTTTGTGTAGATAATATACTCTTGTGTACATTTAAGCATCATTTATCAACTTATTTTATAATTACTTTTCGTATAACAAATTATAGTTATGTAACTGTACTTGTACATGTATGTGCATACTTGCATATTCTATTATACACAGGGTCTCCCACAAAGCATGCTATTGAGTTAAAAGTGACCCAAAAAACAGCTTTTGGAGTAACTTTTAAAATTCATAAAAAATCCAATTTTGATTAAAACCAGCTCAAACTTTCTACGCAACATAAGTACATGTATATGCATCAGAAATAATTATAAAAATGGAGAATTCTCTCCTTTTTACTTTTAGCAAAATTTGGTTAATGACCCTGTACTATAGTAGAGAGGGATTTTGGCTCAATTTTGGAGCGACTTTAAAAATTCATAAAAAATTCTTTTTGATCAGAATCAGGTTAAACCTTCCATGAATTATGTACAGTACATGTGTACATGTACATGTATTTTGAGCAACTTAAAAATGTAAGCTGAGCACTATGCCAAATCCTGTGAGAAACCCTGATTATGGATGTAGAAAGGGTTGCTTACATGATGGTAGGAGTTGATGGTATCTTGCTGGTACATGGTATGGCTCTATAGCATAAAGGGTCTGTGTGTAGACTATGGACATATCAAGATTATCCCAATCATTCTTCAAGTGTTCAAGACAATTACTATTTTTTAATTCACTACGAGCAACCTAAAAAATAAAAAATAATAATTGCTAATACTACCACTACTAATAATAATAGCAATAGTAAATAATAATAATAATAATAATAATAATAATAATAAGCAACTATTCTATGTTTAAGAGGCGGACCATTGATATGATGGATGATGCAACTCTATCTCTGATAATGTCTTAATAATATTATTACTCTTACTCTATAATATTTTATTTTCTTTCTAACTTTAACTCTACCTAACCTACTTGTGTCATTTGAGATTTTATTTATAATAAAATAAATAAATAAATAAATAATAATAATAATAATAATAATAATAAATAAACTTATTCCATTTCCATTTATAGTTATTTTGGAACTGAAGCCTATGTAAGCTTGTAAGCTTGTAGCAATAATTAGTGTGCATGTACATGTAGTTCCGGGTAATGTAGAGGCTTCATTCCTACTTCCCTCCCTCTCTAATACTTATACTCAATTACTCGTTAATTTGTAACATAAAAGGAGGCCACTGGTCCATTAAATTAATCCAATTAGTCTAGCCCACAGACATAAAAGGATCAGTCCCTTTAAACTAAACATATTAGAAGAGAATCTGGAGCTACTACGGAACTAGTTCATCCTTTAATAGCCCCAGGAATTAGACTCATTCACACAATACTACTACCTGTATATAGCACAGGTACATGCATACGTACAACTGTAGATTATTTTATTGCCTTCTTTTTTCATTTTAAAAAATTTCTAAGTGCTTTTAATTTTATGTCTTAAATTTGAGCTACTGTACATGTAGCTTCATTTATAAGCTTAATAATAAATTAACTGGTTTTTCTTGTCCCTTTTACAATTATACAGGATGTCTATGGCTATACAAACCTGTGCCAGTTTTGTCAGTGAGGTCTGTCTCCTTAATCCATTCACAAATCCTTCAGCAACTACAAAAATGTGGCAATGAGATATATAGCTATAGGGTCACTGGGACTATGGTACCTTTATATTTAGCTTCTTGCAACGATTCCGGTAGACCTTTAAGAGCAATCTCCATCCACTGGCGAAGAAAATCAGAGAATTTCCTTATCTCGCTAGCAAGACTAAAAGAAAAGACAAAAAATGAAAGAAATAAATGAAGGCAAGAAAAAGAAATAGAAAAGGGAGAGAAAGGAAACGAAAATGGAGTAGAAAGAAAGAATAAAGAGACATACATGTACATGTAGTAAAGGATAGTTACCTGTCTGGTAGGTTTTGCAATGGAGAGGTTATGAGTACGTTACTGATGACCTTGTAGAGGAGTGAATCACAATGAGCCACAATATCCACCACAACATCACTAGCAAGGACAGGGAGCATGTGAGTAGGCATACCCTGCCAGAAATGCAACAAGAAACTCTCCACCTAATGTATAAAATAAAAAATTAAGTAAATAAATAATAAAGCAAATGATAATAAAGTAAATAATAATAAGTATAATGAAAAAGTATAAATAATAAAAAAAGTATAGATAATAAAGTAATAATAAATTGTGATGCATCTTTGAATGCTGTGGGGGCTGTACCTCAGTAAAGTTAGCTCTAACAACACTGTCTAATATTCGCTGGCAATGAGCACGATACATTACCATGAATGTCTTTAACTGGAAAAGAGAAAGAGGAAGAGGTTGAAAGTAACACATGTAGACAAACAAGAGAGAAGAAATGTTCGTGTACATATACATACATGTACTGTAGTACATACACTAGCTGTATAGTGGATCGACGTTCACAATGAATGCACAAATGTACAATGTAGTAGTTACAAAAATTATAATGGAAAATGCATGTACATGTAATACCAATTAAGAAGAAACAAAACAATAATGTCAATATATACATTTACAATACCAGGAAGGAAGACTTTAAAATTCTGATTATTACCATGACATCAATGATGACACAAAACCACAGTGGTCAATCAGTCAATTAGTGGAGAAGCTTCAATAATACACAATATACTGTGCATGTACAGTGGATGAATGAACATGTGCTGTTAGGTGTATGTATTGGATACTTTATCAACAGGTACTCTGTCAGTTAGTGTCATTGTCTTCACATCAGGAAACGGAGGGAGTACAGCACTAGGCTTTTCATAAGTAGTCTAATGCAATGGGTAAGAAAAGAAAATAAGAGAGAGAGGGGAGGGGGGGGTAGGTAAAAAGGAGTGAAGAGACGACTTTATGTGTACTGTACATGTACATGTACATGTAATCACAATTATAACATAAATGAAATTAAAGTACATGTACATGTACATGTATAAATATACCTTTCGGGTCTCTTGGGTTTTCTTAGAGTTCCTATGTACAAGATTAATAATATAAGTACATACATGTACATTTAGATGTGCAATTATATGTTACACTATTATGCATGCATATAGTGTGTGTGTGTGTGTGTGTGTGTGTGTGTGTGTGTGCAGTGCAAAGTTCATCAGGGCTTACCCTTGACTTAATTTCTCAATATAGTCTGGAGTATAGTAAAGAGAAGAAGGCTTGATACCCAAGCCATAATAGTGATACCTAAGAAAAAAAGAATGTGTAAAATTAATAATGTTAGCACTTGTGTAGTACATGTACATACATGTACATGTATGTACGTATGGAGGCATTCTAGTATGTAGGGCATGCAAGCTTGCATGTCCATTTATGTATATGCACACATTCAAATTAACATGAATTAAGTGCATATAACACACACACACACAAGCCATCCATGTTACAGTTATACACACAAACTGAGTTCAAAGAAATCCCACAGCCAAGAAACAAATGGATGCTTCAATGAATGGCAATAGTTGTCTAGCAACAGACCATAATTAATAATAATTAATATTTTCTAAGAATGAAAACACAAACAAACACACATACATGTACACACACACTCCTCAATTTTACTAGTAACTGATGATGATATCATTCTTTACTTGGAAAGAATGCATGGAGTGTGGGCGGGTATGCAGTATATGCACATGCATGTGGATTAAGGATAAAAGTGACAAGATAAGATTAAAGGAAAAAACAAGTAAACACAGACACATTGACTGTCTAGCCACCATGGTCTATTGTGGTCTGTTACTGAATACTGATATCCCAAAGAGCTGAAATCACTGCATTCACTTTGGTCATTTACAAAGAGAATAAAGAGAATGATGTCAAATAATAGATACATTACAAAAGAAATCATCAGACACATCATTCCTTTACAGACATGTACATAGTACATGTACATGTACATGTACATGTACATGTACGTGTACATACTATTGAGTACATGTACATGTACATACATATAGTATGAGTAATGAGCAATCCTTAGCTAATGAATGAATGAAATGAGGTATAACGTAAACAGAATAAAATAAATGCTAATTATATGTACATGTACGTGTGAGTGTGTACATGTGCAGCATCTACTACAGTGTACACATGTAATATAATTATACATCAACTCTGAATACATGATAACTATACAGTACAAGTGTCATGAAAACGTACACGTACATGTACGTGTGAGTGTGTACATGTGCAGCATCTACTACAGTGTACACATGTAATATAATTATACATCAACTCTGAACACATGATAACTATACAGTACAAGTGTCATGAAAATGTTCATGTATTATCTCTTACTTTGATTGTCCTCTGGTACCAAGTCTACGTGTAGTGAGTGTAGGGAACTGTTGTCTTATAATCTAAAGAGATATAAAAACATACAAATAATACAACATATATTACAGTACAAAGTGAAAAACACACACATCAGTTTATCGTGGTCTGGACTGATTAAGTTTAATACTGTATGTATATGTACGTGTACATGTAGAATTATGTGTACTTTTCCAAAACTGGCAGCATTGACTGGTTGGATGCTCTCTCTCTGACAAAAGTCAATATAATGCTCATAAATAGTGCTCCTTGGCAGGCAGACATTGTCCTCAAGATGATAATTCAGCTCCAACCTATGGACATTGACAGATAATTACAATAAGATTATACTGCATGAGCACATTATGTACATGTAGATGCATTATGGGCTAAAACAAAACATTTTAACTTCAAAGTGAGTATGTACATGACTACATGTACATGTACATGTGAGAGGTATGTACATGTAATGCTAAAGAGATACGTGTAGCAAGTGACATCATTAATGAGGATTACGTACATGTATGCGTACATATGATACTGATACTCATTTACATCATAATAGTGATGCACATGCACCAGATAACCATCAAAGGATTATCTCAATGCATAATCCAATAAAGCTATGACACAACTAGCATACATACACCTGCCAGAGGCTATATGGTAACCAGAGTGCATGGAAATATTCTAATTAGGAGTTTGATTAATGAGCTTTAGGACACAACGTTATAGTAATTTGATATGTGTGAACAACTGCCAGTACAGTCAGCAATTGATGTGTAAACATGAAGCAGTAAATGAGAGCGTGTGTGTGTGTGTGTGTGTGTGTGTGCACTGTAACTTGTTACCATTTGATAGTGGCATGAGTTGAATGAGGCCTCAGGTTGTCAGCACCTCTAGCAGTATAGCTAAAACTATCTGATAGGTCTGCAGGGAGAGAGAGAGAGAGAGAGAGAGAGAGAGAGAGGATGTGAGAAGCTGGATCAAAGTCAGGAAGGTAAAGCCAGGCCCATAAGTGTGTCATTACATTATGATATCAAAACACACCATTTAGTTGCTAAGAGACGACATAAGAGTTGCTAGGCAATAAAGGAACACACTAGTTTAAGGGGTTTCCCCTAAGTACAGCAATGGTATATTAGAATGAAGCAATTCAATGTACAAGTATGCAGCCTTCAAACCTACTCTACATAATATGCCTACAGTACATTGGGACAATGCATATATACATGTATACATGTACATGTAGTACATTAACATTGAATATGTAATAAGGAACATGTACATGTACATATACATGTATGATGTCTCAGACATTAAAGAATAACAATGGATTAAATCATACATCACATAGCAGCTACTTACATACACACACACACACACACAGACAAAGGTAGTAATTATGTCATTGTGTACATGCACTCATTAGCCACACCAAGTCTTTGATCAAAGAGTGAAATTTCTCAGAAAAAGCAAAACCCTCAAACTATTATCTCATCATGTCACAACGTGACAACATCTAATTCTCCTGCATTACAACACACAGCCCATGAGGACTATACATCACATTCTCTAATCCATAACGACAGTTGCCATGATACACAAGACAGACAGAGTTCTTTACTCCTAGCTTTTAGCGGGAATTATTAAAGAGAGAAATTATACTTGCGCTAAGACCGACCACCTCAACCACAGTATCTTAGCAACCAAGGGGTGTCTTGTAGACAGGATTCTTCACTGCAAACTTTTAGTGGGAACAATTCAAGTGACAAATTATAATTACGCTAAAGCAGACCGCTAGAACAGACCACACTAAAAGAGACCACGTTCTATGATAATAACCTAGCAACCAAGGGGCACCCACCCAGCAACAGGGAGGGACTTTTAGAATTATTGTAGGAGTGACATTATGCATGCATAGTAGTGCTAGTGTGGTCAACATGACAAAGATCACCGCAATACCTAATTTCATATCTCATTCCACTCTCTCCGCAAGCGACTATGAAGTCCTACACATGAAATAATATCATTGGATGCAGAGTACTGCCCACTAATAGATCAGAAGCAACAGGCTGTCGGAAGAATTACTACTACACTCACATGAGCATTAAAACAATACACACAATAGAGATTTTTTTTACAATAAAAAATACATGTACATTTTCTGCTTCTCATGTTCTATGATACACATGTACATGTACATGTATGCAGAAAGCAACTTGTAGTCGCTTTATGCAAATTACAAAGGAGTGATGAATAGTGGCAATTAGGAAGGAATGCATTTGACTGAGGAACAACAAAGGATTTGAGAATTCTTAGCAACTGTTATGTAACTGATTGAACATGTTACTCAAGAGTAATGGATAGTAAACATAACTAGTGCAGTATCCTGGACAAACAGCCATTACCATATATACATGTACATGTACACACAGTAATAGTAATTTAAGATATCACTGACAGGGTTTGTACAATAATACTACAATATACTGCTCAAGCTTTAGCTGTAGATCTACATCATAATCATAAAAAAAAACCTGCACCAGGCTTAACTTTTGATGCATTGAGATAAAGCTATTTTTTTTATAAGCTTGGGAGCCAAACTGCAATGATCTACTGAAAAAAGAATTAATGTTTTATGCCACACACTACCACATGCAGAACATGTACTGTACATGTAAGTGTAGCATAACTTTCATAAGTCAATAATAGCTCATTACTATCATAAATGCATCTGTGTAGAGGGAGTCTGCTTCTTTCTAATTTTTAGAAAATAATGAATTATATAATCATAACACAAGACAGACAGGCAGACAGACGACACACATGGCCACACGTATTCACCACAGCAGCCACAGAACTATGACAAATTAGAAACCTTAACTAGGAGAGAGGGAGTCTTCAAAGGAGTGCAGCTGCCAGGAAAAGAGGGAGCTAAGCTAATATGATAATTTCAACTAATATTGATATGACTCGTTAGACAAAAGTTATTATCATTATCATTAATTTTACTACAACAACCAATGGACGTTTGATTAAGACGACCATTTACAAAAAAGGAGAGAACTTTTAATGATGTTACGCGAATACATGTACATCTACTACTAATTGAACAGAGAAATAAACTTGACACCATGCATCAGTAAAAGTAATACTAATTAACACTCATGAATGTGCTAAGTAGAGTAGCATCAAGACTTTATATGTTTTATTATCATAATAAACCTATCATTACCAATAAGTATTATTGTTATTATTATTAACATCATACAGTCTTGTTTACCTTCCATGAGACTGTCTGCGGGCTCACCTTCCACCCCGCGTTGCCCTGGGTAGCAATTCATGTATCCTTGGAACGAAAACAGGCCTCACGGTAAATTCAAGGAAATTTTTACAACAAAAGACAAGAAGAGGACCCTTTGTGAGAAGGAGATTGTCCAGACACCACCAGGACGGACTGTTTGTTTCAATGAAGAGGTACGACAGGCCCAAATCCTCACTACTCAATGGACATAGAAGAGCTCGTGGTTCAGTTTAAGTAGCTGGCAATGAGAGAGAGCGGGAAGACATTTTTATGAAGTAACCTAAACTACCATTTCCTAGCAACGACCGGAAACTCGAGTGGCATGTCATTTCTACACATCCGCATTAGCATTAATTAGATGAATTAAAAACTTACACTTTCTTTTTGTAGCTCATTTTAACAGTTGAATGATATTAATGATAATAATTATACACTAGACCTAGCAATTTATTATTATTATTTTATTTTTTATAAACATCAGATCTAAATACAATCAAACCAAAGACTTATAAGCTCTACCATTGTTTTAACAAGTTTGTCCACATCATGGGTATTTATTGCTCAGAAGGTTGGTGCTAACTAAAACTAATTTCTGCACCTTTTAGCTTTAAATTTTGCAAAGAGGGACTCTAATCAGTGGCAAAGGGCTTCCCTAACTGGTCAAGGATTTTGATGCTAGCAGCCCTGAGCCATTGCTGCAGCTATAGGTTGCATGTGGCAAAGAAAAGCCTAGCTGAACAGCTTGTCTGCTGCTTCCAGCCTTCAAGTATAATCATCTGAGCTGAGCATTCTAATGATCTATAATGGATCTTAAAACCGCGCCAGAACGTGGCATAGCCTACTGCGCATGCGTTATACAATAAAGTGGATGGAAATAGTCAAAAGGATTTTATTCCTAATCTCCCTTTTGCTTGCTGCCAGCAACCTCCTCAACTTTGTCATTACAATACAGCAATGCACATTCTGGCCTCCTACTTCAAGCAATGTTCCAGAAAACAAATTTGAAAAAGCTGCACGCCTCCTTCCTTCTACTCCTCCAACCTCCCATGATGATACAAAACTCGAGGCCTTCCAGAAATACACAAAGGACTCTAGCTGTCAATACAAGGACTCTCCATTGGAGAAACTAGTGTGCCAAGTTGAAGCCAGCTCTAGCTTGTTTTATACATACAAGCCACACCCATTGGTACTTGCAAAAGACCTCTCATTGCTAAGGTACTACGCGCAGAGGGACCTTCACAGCTGGACGCTCGCATACAGCAACATCAGCTTTGAGCTGACTGAGACTAGCTTCAAGTCAACAACAAGACTCAGCGAAGCCTCTGTCCTACTTTGTCTGGGTATTATTGCACAGGATAAGTACTGCCTGAAGCCTAGTAGCTACAAGCTACTGACCCAGGGCCATCGGATCAGTCAGGTTCACGGCATGAGGGACATCTTGTGGAGGAAGGACGCATTCTGTTACACACTACGCGAGAGCTTGCATGGCTACAGAGGTTGGAACAATTTCACGTTTCCTTGCTGGGTACTCCCTCATGATAAAGGACTCCTATTGGAAGAAATGGAAAAGAATGATAAAAAGGAATATATCGTCAAGCCTTCCTTTAGAGGAGAAGGCCACGGTATTTATGTAGTTCGGTCTATGACTGAAATTGATCTGTCCTCTGGAGAGGATTATGTTGTTCAGCCTTTCCTTAAAAAACCATTTTTGGTCAGGGGGCGGAAGTTTGATTTCAGGACTTACGTACTCGTCACATCCATATCCCCATTGCGTCTTTATTTTTATAAAGAAGGACTGGTTCGCTTTGCATCTACCAAATATAACCACAATGCAACAAAAGGTGGCAAAGAGCAGCAGTTCCTGACAAACACTTCGGTCGGTAAGAAGTTCACGTCGTTAGCTAACCTCACTTGGACTTACGATCGTCTGATGAAATATTTTGAGAAGAGAGGGATCAATGGGGACAAAGTATT